GGACGGCGCAGGCGCGCGCCCTCGCTCCCGCTACTCCTCTTCCTCCTCCTCCTCCTCCTCCTCCTCCTCTTCTTCTTCCTCCTCCTCCTCCTCCCTCTGCTGCTGCTCCTCCTTCTCCTCCTCCTTTCTTCTCCTCTTCCCCCTCCTCTTCCCGCTCATTTTTTTTCATTATCCTCCTCCTCCTCCTCGTTGTCCTCCTCCTCCTCCTTTTCCTCCTCCTCTTTCACTCTCCTCCTCCTCCTGCTCTTCCTTCTCCTTTTCCTTCGCCTCCTCCTCTTGCTCCTCCTCCACCTCTCCTCCTCCCCCCTTTCCTGCTCCTCCTTCTCGTCCTCTTCTTCCTCCTCTTCCTGTTCCTCCTCCTTTCCTCTCTTCCTCCTCCTCCTCCTCTTCTCATTCATCCTCCTCCTCCTCGTCATCCTCCTCCTCCTCCTCCTCCTCGCCTTTTTCTTCTCTTTATCCTCTTCTTTCTCTTCGCTCTCTTGTTTCCTCTTCCTTCCTCTTCCGCCTCCTTTTCTTCCTCCTCCTCCCTCCCCCCCCCCCCCCCCCCTGCAAAACCCCGAGGAGAGTTCTGCGCGGGAGCTCGGTGACAGCGATGACGATCGGTCATCTTTTACCTCGGCACGGCGAAGCAAGTCTCGGTAGCTTCAGCCGTTAAATGCTTGAGCCAAAGGTAACGGGGGCACCTTCACTCCCCAGTCACCTGAATGCTTACATGTTAACACCCCCCCATCGGACGCTAGTCCGTATAGGCTGACGGGGAGGCGTCAACAATCGCGAAAACAGGTCAAGCTATACAAAACGTCGCACGCAAATGACGTTAAGTCTCTAGTCTCTTCATCGCACTGTTGAATTCGAAATGTCTCGTGACGGCGTTTACGAGCACCAAGTTTCTCACACATGTAACCTGAGCTCGAGTAAACGCTTTTACTGTCGCAAGTTCAAACGAAGCATCTAAAGTTTACACAGCAGGCTAGCATTTGGATGATTTTGATGGCTTTCGCTTTTTATTCGCCAATACCTGCGGCAACAACAAGAGATGCGCATGCAAACAAACTCAGCTCAACAAGCTGCCGTTACTCGATCGTTAAGCCAAGTTAAGAGGGGAGATGAGGAAGAGCGTGAACTGCAGCATGCTGACTGCCCGCCATCTTTCACGGACGGCGCGGGCGCCTCGCCGACGGGGCTCGCGAACCCCTCGACCTCGGTAGCCCGCGATGGCCCACGCCGGCTGCGGTGTAGGACGACACCCTGTTAAGGGCCCTGCATCGGGCTGTAGTAGTCGTTGTCCATGTACGCGTTAATGCGCTCCTCGTCGTCAAGCCAGCACCCCTCATCGTGGCTCTTAATTGAGCCGTCAACGATGTTGTGGTAAGTGCCGATGGCTCTCCAGTAACTGGCGTGGGGAGCCTTTAACAGAGGCCCACCGCCTGGATTGTTACGGAGGTGCTCTTCGACCGCAGCGCCGGTAAACGGTTTCACAGTCCAGGCCGGATCGGTAAGCCAGTTGGGGAAGTCGTCGCACGGTAACCAGCCAAACCAGCAAAGCTTCTCACGGTGATCGCTTATACGCTCGGTGACATGATCGGCAGGCCAACTATCACGGTAAAGTGCCCTCATGGATCCCTGATCGTTAAGGGCAACTTCCAAGATGGTCTGGTGCCAGTAGACTGGAGGCTTGCTGATACTGCCCTTTAACTCCGCGGTGCTCCTGACCTCGAAGTCGTCGATGAAGTAGTTACGGCAATGCACCTGGAGCCCGTTCATGTAACGGCAGTAAAGCCTGGCGAGATCGGGCGTCGCAAAGCGAATCACGGTAACTCCAGTCGAGATGTAACCGTGCGGCCCATGGGTGTCCTCCACCAGGTGCTTAACGGAGATCACGGTGGGGTTGCCGTGGGGCAGCATTCCTGCCCACGGTAAGAGGAGGCCGTTAAGCTGCTTCTCGCTCATCTCCGGCACCTTGTTGACGTACACTTGCGTGTCCGGGCAACTGTGGTGCTCAAGCCACGATGAGTGAAGCTCGTTAAGGTAGAGCGGTGGCACGTAGTCATCGTCAAATAGGGACTGCACGTGCCCAACCGCGTCAACCCATTCATCATGCTTGGCCAACTCTTTGTCCGTTAACTGAGACCTCCAGCTGATCGGACCTTTCAACACGGCATAGCCGATGAAACCGTAAGCGTGTTGGCCGAAGATGTCAACGAACACGTCCTCGTACTCGTTAAGCTCCCGCCAGGTGTTGCCCTGAATGGACCTGCCGCCAGGGGTCGTTAACCCCGCCTTCGCCACGTGCCCGACGAAGTTACCCTCAAACCTGCGCCAGTTATCACGTGTCTTCATCGTTAAGGCTACCACCTCCCTGGGATCAGGTTCCGCCCGAAAGTTAACGTCGTAGTCGTCGCTCCTGTTGTTCAGCATGGACATGCGACCGTTGACGTGGTACAGCGGGCGGTAAGTGGTGTCCTTGGCGACGGTCCTGGAGTGCCCCTCAACCTGATCAGTCGCGCGGTTAACGACTTGAGGCTGCGGTGGCGGGATGTGCTGGATCGGTAACCTCTTGGGCTCTGGAGGCGGGGGCTTCACGCCGGTAACGCTGCTTGCCGCTCTGGACTCGCCGAGTCCCGGAGGGGGCGGCTTGGCCGGCCTCGCGTTCGCGACGGGGGCAGGATCCTTTGGCGCCTCATCACGTTGACCACCAACTGTTCGATCCTCGTCCATCTTCATGCCTATCTGCATCAACTCCCCCAGCTCCCGTTGACGTTCACGCATGGCCTTCGGCGCCCGCTCGTAAACAGGCTGTGGCTCTTCACCGCCCTGCCGGCTCAACGGTGACGCTTGAATCTTGTTCGGTGACACGGACCGCCGACTCCCCCCGGCATTAGCGGTTGCGCCGGCCAGGTCCTGAGTAGGGGGAGCCTTGCCTGGCGGAGCCACGTTAACCTGCTGCGCTGGGGGCGCGCCCGTGGCCATGGGCCCGGCTGCCGCGGCGGCGGCAACGGGCGGCGCCTTGGCGGGTGCTGCCGTCGGGGGCGACCCAGGTAGCGGCGGCGGCGCCTGCGGAATATCGGTAACCGAGGAGTTGATCGGGTCACCCAAGAACTTCTGCAAACCCTCAAGCCTCTCGGTAACTCCCCCTAGCATACGTAGCGCCGCATCACGTTTACCTTCGAGGTCCTGCAGGGGCGTGATATTCTCGGTAGGGCGCCTGGCGGTATTCAAGAGGCAACCGATATTTTCGTTAATGCGCCGGTACTTGGTTGCATTCTCCGCCGTGTGAACCTCCGAGTCGCGATTCTTGATGTTCAACTCTGTCACCATCGCCGCAAGGTTGTTAACCTCGTCCTGCGCCCTCTTGAGGTTCTCGTTGACATCGTCATTGGCGTGAACCAACGCGGTGTTCTGTTGCGTTAAGTCAACGATCCTCCGCGCCATATCATCGGCAACCCTCTGCATCTCGTCAACGTGCTTGTCATAGGCCCCGTGGAAGTTAATGGCCATGTTGGTGAGGGTCACGGTGAACGCATGAGCCACGTTGACGATATCGTCGACGCGGCGACTGAGGTTCTCGCGCGTAACCGGTCCTGCCCCAGGCGGGCTCTGGTCGACCGCCGCGCCGTTGATCGTGACGTTGACTTGATGGTCCGCCATGCTTTCGTTCACGCTCGAGGGAAAGAGGTAATGGATGGAGGAAGCCTTAATCAAGACAGCTTGCTTGACAGAAATGAGCTGCGGATGTCAACACTCGGTGGCCGGCGCAAGGCTGTGCCGACCTGTTAATGCGCTTTGGTTTGTGTTAAGCAGGTGTGTGTGCTCATACTTTCACGACTGACATACTTGGTTAATGCATCTGCTACGTTCTCATGTGTACCTACTTTCGCAATTCGAATCACTCCCTCCTTTGCCTTCTGCTGCAGCCACAGTTGACATACTTTTCCTAAACCTCGTCTACTCGCAATTGCGATTGCAGCCGTGGCATCACTTTTCAAGGTGATCTCAACTTCCAAGTTAAAATCCCTCAACACTGCCTGAAGTCCCAGTCCGACTGATCCTCCTTTCACAAGCCCGTAATACTCTGCTTCCCCTGACGATAATGCAATTACACTTTGAGTTGTGCTCCAAGATTTTATAAGGTGTTTACCCCACATCACTACTCCTCCACTCGTAGACTTCCTAGTTCGTTTACATCCTGCGTAATCTGTGTCCGTCCAAATCGTCAACTCTCGAGGCTGTTCTTGATGCTGATACACGTAACTGCTTCTGCTGTGATACTTCAAATACTTTCCCAGCTTGACTAGACCTTTCCACGAACCCATACTTGGCTTTGACATGGTCCTAGCAAGTTCTTTTACTGAATACTGTATGTCCGATCTGTCTTGAGCTAAATAATTCGCTCTCGCCGTTAATGCCTGGTATCGCTTAGTCATGCTGGGCGAAAGTTCTACCTCGTCTCCCTCCTCAACTGGAATGCGTTCACCTGGCACCTCAGTCCTCACTTTTACTCCCTCAAGTTCAAGCTCTGTCGCAATTATTTCCGCATGCCTTTGATCAGCCTCATATCTCAATCCTTCCTCAGTCCACTCCAAAATCCTGTTAAGAATCCTGATCGCCTTCATGTCTTCCTCCCCCGGTCCAAGTCGCCCTCTCACTTTTACCTCAAACTCCTCCTTTATCTCATTTTCAAACCAATCGAGGTCAAGGTCACCACCTAGTAGAGTAAAGTCATCCCCATGGACCGTTAACCATAGGGCTCGGGTCTCGTGCTTAGACACGCACGGCGACGCAACTCCACTCTTGAACCCAACTTTAATGGCAAAGTCCATGTAACAGTCTTCCCAGTTGCTTGCCGCATCTCTTGTTCCATACATTGACTTCAGTAACTTTCCACACATGCCCGGCTCGTAATCCTCGTCCGGTAGCCTGATAAATATGTCTTTCTTTGCAGGAGCGTAAAAGTAAGCTCGTTTAATGTCAATGAATGCCAGCTTTAATCCTTTCTCGCG